TTGGAAAACCTGGTCTCCAGAAACCACATAGATATTGTCAATCAGAAACTCGAGTATCTTTTTAATGTCAACTTCAGAGTACTTGTGTGTACAATCAGAATGTTTTTTAACAAAATAATTTTGCAAATGACCAATGACAAGGTAAGGATATTTACGAGTTCCATTTAAATTGAAAAAGCAGTTGTCAACTATATATCAAAAAGCCTGAACTTTAATTTATCGTGAGGAATGGTTGTGTATAAAGTAGAAAAGTCGTAAGTTTTTAAGCTGTTGATTTTGGTAAATTCTTGTGATTTCAAATTTTCCAAAAGTTCCTTGGAATCTTGAAGTATCAACATCTGATTTACACCACTTCTCGAATATATTGTTGCACAGTTCTCTTGAAGTTTCTCCTTCACCACTGTTAAGGTTTTGCCAAAGGTCAAGATGTCCAAAAATTTAATTTTGCAATAGCTCCAAAAGTATGTGAGGTATAAAGTTAAAACTTTTACAGCTTATAAATATATCATTAATTAACAGATAGAAAGTATCACTTGAAAACAAATATTTGTAAAAAATATTTTTTGAGAAAAAAAGTTTCAAAAAAATCGCATATTGTAAAAAAAAAATGCACCTGCTTAATTCTGTACTTTTAGTGAAAACCATCATTGCAGAAATAATATATGTTTATCAATGAAGGGCAAGTTGGACGTGAATGGTCTCTAAAAGACTGTTATTGAAAGCATGGCATGTATAAAGACAAGACCCCTATAAAATCCGCCATTTGCAATGTACTTTCGGTTTCAGATCTTAACATTTGGACGAAATAAACAGGTAAATCAACTTTCCAGAGGCTGTCGAAGTCCAACTTGCCCTTCATAGGGTCGGAAAGTCTCGTCACGTGACTCGCGAGATATAACGTGAAAACTTACTTCCGGGCAGTTGCCAAGGATGGCTTTATCTTTATCAATAATGTACTGGGCTCGGTACGTTGAAAGCCACACAAAACTTACCAGGAAAAGTGAGAAAGCTGTGGATAGCGACAGGGTTTTAAAATTTGTGTTAGATAAAGAGTTTCGCGTTATTACTGCGGTTGTGCAAGCGTCAATGCGAGACACATCTTACAAAGTTCAGGTATGTACATTCGATTTCGCATCAATACATTAGAACAATTTCAAACTATATCTAAGAGTCTGTTCAAGATCTTTAATGTTTATAACTAAAAACTGAGTAAAGTTTATAGATTTAAACTTTTTTTTAATTGCGGGCTGTGGTAATCCAGCGTCTTGGCCTCCTCCACCTCGCCCAAAGAATTCATCATGTTTACAATTCACTGAAAATATTCCGTAAAACATGTAGATTTAGTCAGAGAGTCTAGTGTTGCAAAATTTGACCAAATTCACTATCGATTATCAAATTGAATCAGTAGCATACAATCAATTATACGATCGAATTTAATTATTTAATTTAAAGGTTAAATAAAGTTAACCAGCAAATATTCAGATATCCTCGAAGATGAAAACAATATTTCAATACAAATCTATGAGACCAACTTCAGTTTATACTTAGTAGGAAAATTTGTCTGCCATTTGCAAGAGAAATAGGGGAATATCCTTTGATAATGTTAAAAGATGAACCAGTTTGTATTTAAAAAAATTTTTTTAAAAATGTAGCAACTTTGATTTTAAAATTTTCTATCAATTGTCGCTGACTTGTTGACTTCAGGGATGATTTTTCGATAGTCGGCGATATCATTGTAACACTATGACAGAGACTTGTTTATTTTATTTTATTTTTTTTTTTACTTTTAACAGATATTTCTGGAAAATGAAGAAAACAGTACTGGTACTATAAAGTCATCGACGTGTGAATGTCCAATGGGCCAGTTTCGCTGCCACCATGTAGCTGCAGCTCTTCTGTTTGGGTACATGAAGCATATTCTGTTAATTCATTTGTTTAAAAAAATGCAACAGTTTTGCAGCTTGAAGTCCGATTTTTTTTTTATTTCAGCTGAATTTGTCAATATTTATATTTTGTGTGTTTTATTTTTTTGTCTATTCTAAATCTAAGTGCTTTACTAACTAGTGTATAAAATAATCCTTTAGATATAAGAGGGCAAGCAAGACAGATGTGAAGTGCAGCTGGATCAAGCATCCTAAATCTGCTCCTCCTAAAGCCATAACAACAATGGGGGAAATGTATCCACCCAGGCAAGATTATAGGTAACTCACAAGCACCTTTGTACATTATATATTTGGTAATTAAATAATAAATGAAAGGTTGTGTTATTCATTTGAATATTTCATTCTGTAATGAATACTTGATGTATATACATGTAAATTTAGAGCATTAAAAAGAGAGATGACAGATGCAGATAGATCATATTTGTATGATCAGCTAGGTCATTTGGGTAGATTTACAGGTTTGCTCGATGAACAATATTTTTTTCATCCTTGTCACAAGGGAAACTGTTTCCTCTGAATCAAGGCTCATTTTATGATTTATTTTTGAGTTAATGTTACATTTTTGTTATTAATGGATTTTCATTTATTTTTTAAAAAGTTACATATTTTTTTTTATGTAACACTTTCATCATTTTTAAATTTTCTTTTTTAACATGTCAACTTAGTGTGGCATATATTTTGAGAACATACCGGTATATCATCTACCTGTAATTTCTTTGACCTAGAACAAATATTATTTCCATTTTAAATGTTTTTCATTTTTTCTTAAGTATAAATAATTAATACATTGTAATTCATAAGGTATTTTAAGTATAGACTATTCACAATGACCAAACATATATTGTCAGCTAAATAAAGTACATAACAAGCGTTGACTTACAACATAATATGTTGAAAGTTGTGGCCAATGTAATGGTAATTGCTATTTCATTTATTGCAGCTATGCACTGGATTTTATCAAATGAGCCTGAGTGTGAGGAAATGCCAGCATTACTTATTGAAGACCAGCTCATAAGTGAAGAGTACTTGAATGCTCAGTGCAAGTCATCTTATTTAAGGTATTCAAATTCAAATAAACAGAATATGTAAAAACTTGTGCTCTTTAAAATAATTCATTATTTTTGGCTTTTAAAGAAATGAAGGTGTAAAAACAGATTTTTTATATATACATATATATATATGATTTTTAACATAGGGAGAAACTTGTCATTTGTTCAGAAAAGATTATTGAAACAGCATGGCTGACTACAGGACAAAGAGAGAACTCTTTATGGGCAGCTGTTCGCAAATTGAGAATTACTGCATCTAATTTTGGACAAGTTATTGGTGCTATTAGAAGAAATCGGTAAATAAAATTTACAATGGTTTATTTAATGTACAAAAGCATTACATTTTAAAAATAATATTACTGAATTCTTAATTTGTGGTCTTTTTATTAATAATTTTAAATTAAAACTATGAAATTCATTTTTTTTTTCTTGAAGGCTCTCAGTATCATTAAAGAAAAGATTACTCAGTGCATATAATCTTGAGAAAAGAGCTTCTATTCAGTGGGGACTTACACATGAAAAGAGTGCAAAAGATGACTATTGTAAACTTTCAGAGGTCTCGATATTAGAGACAGGTAAACAATTATCAAATTCAATTTAAATGTTTTTAAAAAATTATCCTACCTGCATTTGCTGTGATGCAAGTTGTTAGCAACACAGGTAAAATTTTGCATCAGTAGTGACCTTAAGTAATAATTTGGAATGAACTGGTCCTTTTCTAGAACTTTGTGACATAAAACAATTTACGTTCAACATTAGATGTTTGTTTTGTTTTCTCATCAGAACATCTATTTCATCTTTAATGAAATGAAGAAATTGATCACTGAAGAATAAAATGGTTTGCGATGTTATGTACATGTTTTGTGATATTTACTTAATTCCCTTGATTTTTTTCTATCATTAAGATACGATTGATAACACATCCATTATTAAGTATGGAATTTTGCCTCTTAATAATCATGATAGCTCAGTTAGTTGTGTTTACTCTGTGATTGGTCACTGCATAATGATGCCGAGTAAAGGTCGAAATTAGAAGCCCTCGATATGAGTGAAAAACTTACCCAATGGTATGTAAAACAACATACATAACAAATATGGTTAAATTTATATTGTAGTTTTTAATTTCAGGCATATGGCTTCATGAATCAGGTGTTCTTGGTGCCTCTCCTGATGGATTTGTCCAAGGTGATCCCAAACATTTGAAGATTCACCTTCAAGGAAAAGTGAGTGCATCACCAGATATTATAGAGGTTAAATGTCCTTTCTCTGCAAGAACAATGTCTATCAAGGATGCCTGTACAAATTTGAAAGATTTCTTTCTAGGTAAGTACAAACCGATTTGAAAGTTTTCTAAAAGAGCCTGGTATATGTAAATTAGTTCTCATTTTTCTTTGATGAAACCATCTTTCATGATTTATGTCTAGATAAAATTATCCTACATTATTTTAGTGAAAGAATAGATGTCGATCTTTTGAAATCATTTTAGAGTGTGACTCTGAGGGTGTCCTGCATCTTAGAGAGAATCATGATTATTGGCACCAAGTTCAAGGCCAGCTTTATCTTACAGGCACCACTTGTTGTGATTTCGTAGTTTGGACACCAGTAAGCATGGAAGTCATTCGCATCCTTCGAGACGAATTATGGGAAATTCACTTGAAAAACATGATTGAATTCTACTTTAATGTGTTTCTACCCTCTCTCCAGTAAAATTTTGACTGACTTTATATTGTACATGAGCATACATGTATATTGGTGCACTCAAAATTTAGCTCAATCCTCTTCTTCAGTATGATAAGCACAATCATAATCTCAGTGCGATTAGCATTTTGTTTGACAAGTTGTGCTTGCTAATAGCATGTCCATAAATAAGTGAACATGAAGCAATACCTAAGACATTAAATTATGAATACCACCAAAGTAAGTAACTATGTTTACTGTAAACAGATCTCTTACATTGCCTTCTTCCCTTAGTGCAGTAAATAAAAAGAGAATTTGAATTTTTGCCAAACTGTTTAATTTTATCATGGTTTATTTTTTGCAACTAATGATCAAAGCAATCATTATCTTAAGCATGCATCACCAGTGTGGAAATTTTGAACAAAATAAGTAATTTAAGATGTACAATTGAGTCCTTTTCACAAAAAAGTAAAAGAAAAGAAATATATACAAACTGCAATTCTAAAGATGCAATATCATTAAAATGAGATCTATGTAATTAGGGTCAGACAACATTTTTAAACAATTTAATTATTTGAAAGGGACGTATAGTTTATATTAAGTTTATATAATTATATTATGCATGATTTCTGAATACACAACATCCTGATTAGACAAGTGCCACAGAATACATTCACTGTAGCATATATACATGTAATGTTCATATATAGTAATTACAATACATGTGAATTATATAACAGTTTTTCTCTAAAAAATAAACATATTGTTTTTCAAAAGTAGTTTTTCAAGCTTTGATTGATATTAAGTTTATTTGGCTTCTTTCAAATGCACAACTGATGTTTCCAGAATTCTATGATGAACTGTGCGCGCATAATTTTACATTATCCTTGTGTTACATGTACCCATTCTCAAGTGTGTTGCTAATGCTGAGGATAACATTACAAATTGTTTAATATTTCTTAAACAAATCTGATTTTAGTATTTAACATGAAAGTATAATAATGAATATAAACATTATAGAGATTTTGTGTACATATTTAGCATGTTTGAAAAGATACAAGTTAGATGTTGTGTACTACTTTAATTCACACCAGTTCTAAATTTCATACTTTTCTGCTATTTCCTTCAACAGAGGAGCTTGCAAATTAACAAGAGCTACACACAGTTGGAAAATTTTAGTGGCAAGATGTCTGTATTGTGCAGGAATGTGATCTAGAATACGGTAGTTCTTGATTCTTTCATTTGCTCGCTCCACATGAATTCGACTTCTCCCAATCTTGTAACAAAGCTGTGCTTCTTCCTTTGTGAAATGACATTTGGATGACAGGAAAGGTGGTATGTTTAATGTCACTCCTGGTGGAAGCTTATCAAATATGTTGAAGCCCTTATCTGCAAGGATCATATCACCTGGCTTCAACATATCCAATACACCACAGTGATCAACAATGGCAGCATCAGAGGTGGATCCAGGATAGAGTTCTGAACAATACACTAAAGCACCATTTGGTGCTACACACGTGACAGCTTTTACTGTATGGCGACTTTTGTAGTTGCTGTAAGATAGCGACTGGTTATTCATGTCTGATGGTACATCCTGTGTGATTTCGGTGGCATCCATTGCTATTCTCGCAGAGGAAAACTCCTCAAATGATTTGGGCATTGACCCTTTGCATTTTAACTGGGAGGGTATCCCAACAGCCTTCATCACTCCTTCAAATAAAATTTCATGCAGCGCTGTAACATAGGTATTCAATATGTTGGAGACAGTACTTTTACTGGTGTTAAATCTTTCTGCTAAATCCAAATCCCTTAAATTAAGGCGTAACTTCATAAGAGTCATAAGGAGCTGGTCACTGGTACTGATCCCTTGTACTGTCCATCCATTATAGTATTGGAATGGGGCCATTCTTTCCAACAAAGACACCAGTATATTGAAAACTTCTGAGGGAAATGAAGTATATAACAGCATCTATAACAAAGCAAAACAACCATTTATAAATTATGATCAATGAATATTGCCACATGTATACTATTTTTATACAAAATAAACATCTTGTGTGGTACCTAAGTGCAAGAGAAGGTTTTGTCACAAAGAATACATCTGTGAAATATGAAAACCCGAGCACCAACCTTTCAAAAGTTATGGCCAAGATTAAAATTTTTCAACTGTATGTCAGACAAAGGTCAAGGTCAAAATTGTTGCTATCCAAGTGAAGGTCTTTTCACAAAGATGTGAAAACCTTGGAACTAACCATTCGAAAGTTATGGCCAAAGTAAAAAGTTTTCAAAAGTGGCTCGAACTCCAAGGTCAAAGGGGGTCAAAGATGTTGGTATCTAAAGGAAGGTCTTGTCAAAAAAAAAATCCACTTGTAAAGTATGAAAGCCCTAGCATCAACTGCTCAAAAGTTATGGCCAAGGTTAAAGTTTAGTTAAAATTTTGCAAAAGTGGGTCAAACTCCATCACAAGGAATACATATGTGATACAAGAAAGCCATACATTGTAGGTCCAACCAGTCAGTAGGTTTGGGCAAGGTCAAATTTCTTGCGGCCAAACAGACTAACGGACAGCTAATCAGACGGACGGACACAACAATTAAATCTATATGCCCCCAAATCTTCGATTAAGGGGGCATAAAAATATGCTCAAATAACATACCTTGTCTGGGTCCTGTATTATGTTGCAAATTGTAAAGGCTTGTTTTTTCAGTTTTAGTGACTCTAATTCTCTTCGGAGCTCTTTCACTCTTTCTGCTAAATCAACACTTTCTGTAATGATTACAAAACAATATTAGCAATATCAACATTAAACCATAGTAGGTATTTAACATCAGGGTGGTATATAGTATAGTATAGTATAGTAGTATAGTCAAATAAGGGTAGTAGCTAGTGTATGAATTAAATTTGGTACTGAAAGAAGTTTGAACCCCCCCCCCCCCCCAACCCACCCCCAAGCATGATATTCTATTTTCATATAAGGCTCTATAAGACACATAAATATGTCAGTGAGGCCACCTTTAAAACAATGTTTGTTTTTCCTCTCCAGAATCAGAGTAAAAAAATAGGATTGGCAGGGTAAGTTGCACCATGTCGGTAATTGTTGACGTAATGAAAAAATTCAGAAAAAAGTTCTTAAAAAATTGTTTCCTGGAGGTTATGTAAAAATTTTGTGTAGGACCATTTTTAGCCAGTTGGTCTGGAGAGGGCAAACAAACAATTTTATTAAGATAGCCTGACTTATTAAAAATAGACATAATAATATAGGCATAATACAAATAATGTCCATCTGATATAATTTTTTTTTCAATACCTTTGGATGCCTCTGGAAAATAAGCAGTATAACTGTGATCAGCGTGGATCCCTCCTTCACACTGTGAAGTTGTCATTGCACATTCTCCATCAAACCCTTCTGTCAAGCATACAAATAAATTACACACAAAGTAATATTTTTATGAAAAGCATCATAATGAAAGGATAAATTACTGCAGTCTTTGCAAACAATAATCTTACAGGGCATGCAAAACAAACTGATATGAAAATATAAGGGCTCCAATACTTTAAACCTTTTGTGAGCATGACCCAGTGGATAAATCAGGTGATAAGTGAAAGTCTTGCCAAAATGAAAATTGTTTTACCTTCAGTACTTCCAGAAACTGCATAGTCGTGGTCATTGTGGTTTAGCTCTGCTTGTCTGGGTTGCTCTGTATTGAGGGTTCCTTCTGTTTCTGTTTCAGTAATTTTGCGTCTGTAAAATATTATTTTTATGCTCTTCAATAAACAAATATATATATTTTAAAAGTTAAAAAAAAATAATAGTTATAAATATACAATTATCATTGAAAACCAAGCTAACTCTCATATACATTACATATAAATGATACATATACATATATACATATAAATGAAGGAGGAGATGAAAAAGAGTCATATTGACATAAATTTTAGAAAGCAACCATGTATGAAGATCTGTCAAGTAAGAAATATTTACCTTTTTGGCTCGACAAAGTCAGGAAAGCAATTATTTTTGCTGTATACAAAAATTGTCGGCCCATTCTCTTTTCTCCCATCTTTAAAGTGGCAACTGCAAATTCGATCATTACTATTGTATTCTCTATCTGCTCTCCTGAAAAGGTTGAGGATAAATTCAATACTATATAATCAAATTAATAATTTAAAAATTGTTTGTACAACATTATTTAAACTCACATCTATAAATAGCAGTTAGTTTACTTTCATATGTTTAATGTAAACTTTTGGTGTAATGCTACATCGTATCCTGTATGACCGATTAGCTAGGGGTGTCCACACTGTGGCTCGAACCTACAACCCTCAGATTCAAAATCCAACGCTCTACCGACTGAGCTAAAGGGTTAACCCACTACCTAGTGCTAGTAGGAGCGTGGCCTCACTATATACAACACAAAGGCACTTTTAACTCTGTTACACTTCCCCCTTCTTGAGATTTCTTACCCCTGAGAAATCTCACACACGAGACTCTATAAACATCACTCACCATGTGGGTTTTGTAGTTGAGCGCCAATATGACTGATTAGCTAGGGGTGTCCACACTGTGGCTTGAACCTACAACCCTCAGATTTAAAATCACTCTATTTACTGAGCTAAAGGGTTAACCCACTAGCTAGTGCTAGTAGGAGCGTGGCCTCACTATATACAATGCATAGCCACTTTTAACTCTGTTACACATGTATTCTCTTTATTATTTTGAATTAATTTCATATTACTAAGTATAAAAAATATGAAAATAAATTGGACATTAAGCATTTCTAATATGGGTCTTGTCTGAGAGATTATGTATGATACCAGCTGATTTTAAAAGTTCTGTTAATCATGAAGATTGAGACAGAGTGAAGACATATAAATACAGAAGATAATTTTAAAATAATTCTAAATATTAATTTGCACTGAAAAGTCAAGCCACGATTTCTTTGTTCCTTTCTTAAACAATCATCTGACAATTTCTACTAATTGGTTAAATTTATAACTATTCCCTTGTAAATACAATGATATACATGTATATATAAGGCCTGCAAAGTTTTGTTTAGTATAGGCCTATAACCATGATAACATGACACGGGGCTTGGATCTATCAGACAGGTTTTCCAGTTTAATGTTTTGTTAAAATTAGTATTATCATTTGTATACCTGCATCTATCAATCCATTTCTTCCTCTTTTTTGGATCTGTAGGAAATCTGAATTAACTACATGTTCGATTCGCGCCAGTCATATGGGTACACCCGAAGGCAAAACACAGCGGCATCTTGGTCTGCTGCCCGGAAGTTGCAAATCGAAAATGAAAGTAAACGAGACTTTCCGACCCTATTGATAAACATATATTGTTTCTGCAATGATGGCTTTCACTAAAAGTACGGAATTAATTAGGTGTATTTTTTAAAAATATATGCATTTTTTAAAAGAATTTTTCTCGATAAATATTTTTTTTAAGTATTTGTTATCAAGTGATACTTTCTATCTGTTTATCAGTGATATATTTATAAACTGTAAAAGTTTCAACGTTATAAACCACATAGTTTTGGAGCTATTGTAAAAATAAATTTTTGTACATGTTGACCTTTGGCAAAACCTTAATATCTTAGTTAGGAGTAAAGAAAGAGGCTTGGTTGAACATTTACTGGAACCCGCTATGTATCTTTGTTTGTAAGGATTTTTATGAAGTTTCGGAATCCAATATAAATATGGTAATTCAAATTCATTTTGATTTTTTGGAATATTAAAAATATTCAAAACTGACATAAGATTTTGAAAAATTTCTTCCTTAGAGAGGGAACTACGAGTATAAGTTGGACTAAGAATTAAAACCAAGTTCCTCTAAAATACATTTAATATAATGAGCCTTACAAACAAAGACAATGTTGTTACCTGCTTTGTCGGCAGGGACCAGTACGTACTGATCATGTAATCTATCTAATTCTTTTTTCACTTCTGCATTATTGAAAACAGAAGGATAGATGGTTCTCATATTGCCCCTCGATCTTTTAATGCGTGATTTTAACATACATATGATACATTTAATCATTCTGACGAAGTGTCAAGGTCTTCTTTTTCATGTCTGGCCCATCGCCTGGCGTAGTCCTCTACAGAATCCATAATATTTATGAAATTCCGACGCCAGTTGAAGGATCGGGGTTCCCCAAATTTAGGACCTTTCAACAGACCTGTTTACTCTTACGATTTCGCCGTATTTTGTACGGATTTGAGTCCAAAATACGTCTCACGTTTTTCTATAATGAAAATACGGCAATCGGAAAATCCTTTTATTTGGATTTTAGCAGCTAGTTGCCGTTATGATGTCTCAGTTTGACGCTTTTTAATCGCTAAAAAGAGAAAATTTTCTAACAATTAAATGATGTCGGGTTGCCAAAACGCGGTGGTTTAAAAATGACAGAAACCCCTCGAAAGAAAGCAAGGTATTATTTTTTTCTTTGTTATTAGACCATGTTTATTTTTGGTAACAGAAATGTAGTTGTTCTCTAGTAATATATGTACAATCGAAAAGTGAAATCTTACGGGGAAATGCCAAATCTCACTGACAAATCTAATAAAAAATACTGAAAGACAACAATATGGGTAAACAGGTCTGTTTTAAAATTAGTGATCTAAGGTCCTCATTATTAACTATATTTACGTCACCAGTAACTAGTTATAATTGTAACGGGGACCGTTACAGATGTTCCCCAAACGCTCCCCAACTCCCTTTTGGTGTCTTATTCCCTGTAAGCTTCATTGAATAAGGCAATCAAGTATATTGGTTTTTTACGCATTACGCGCACGTGCATGCATGTTCAGGATGGTCATGTCATCTCGTCTATACTATAAATGCATCTTAATTCTGAGTATCGAAATATTTCTTCAAAAAATATAAAAGTTACGGCTATATCAAGTATATTGTTCATTATGCATTGCACGCGCGCGCACGTGCATGCATGTGCATGTCGACCAAACTATCTTGTCTACACCATTAATATCTCTCCATATTATAAGTATTGAAGCATTTCGTCAAAAAGTATAAAAGTTACAGCTATATCAATTTTATAGGTCATTTTAGCATTGCACGCACGCGCACGTGAATGCATGTGCATGTTGACCATATCATCTTTTCTACACTCTTAGTATCTCTCTATATTGTAAGAATCAAAGCATTTCATCAAACAGTATAGAAGTAACGGCTATATCAAGTATATTGGTCATTTTTCGCATTGCACGTGCGCGCACGTGCATGGATATGCATGATGACCATATCATATTTTCTACCCTTTCATTCTATTTCTATTTTTTGAGTTTCAAAGTATTTCGTCAAAACGTTTAAAAGTTACGGTTATATCAAGTATATTGGTCGTTAAACGCATTGCGCACGCGCATGCATGGTCTTGCATTCAATGTTGATAGTAACATACTGTTGGAATCCACTATACCTATTTATATTCTAAATTTCATCGTGTTTTGTTGAGAACCAAGAAAGTTATAGCCATTTAAATTTTAAGCCAATCAGATTGCAGCACACGTGCATGCGCGTGTTTTCATGATAATTCTTATATATTATATTGTACAACCTCCTAATGTATGACTATGTTTTAAATTTCAAAGTATTTTGTCAAAAAACAAAAAAGATACTGAGAATTTTGTGTCAGCCAATCAGAGCGAAGCGCACGTGCATGCGCGTCAGTTCATGCTGATTTGACCATGTCAACTTGTCTACTCTACTAATATATCCTTAAGTTAAAAGTTTCAAAGCATTCCATCAAAAAATGTAAAAGTTACGGCTATATGAAGTATGTCAGTCATTTCACTCATTGCACGCGCCCGCACGTGCATGCATGTACGCGCAAAATGACGTTCGTTCCGCACATCTACACAATATGCCTATTAACCCTAAAAAGGTTTTAACTCAATTGGATGAGCAGTTTCCGAGAACACTCGCGGAACAAAAAGTACCTGAGAAGAAATAAGAATAAAAAAGAATAATAATACTAGAAACTCATTGCGAGCAATGAGAGGTTTTCCGTCCGATTCTGAAAATTAAAACGAAAATGCAAGCTGAAAAAGTGATAAAAGATTTAACCCTAGTCGTCAGCGTGAAAATCCAACGTGCTTATTTATCATTAACCATTCCCTTTATTATATCACTTCCTGTCATGACCGAAAGTAACGGCAATACAAGATTTTCTCACGATTCAAATAAACTGATGACTGACTATCAATCCTGAAAGTTTTAGTCTTCAGTCGTTTACTGTTGCCGAGCAATATTGTGAGAACAAATTCTAATTTTGAGGACAGTTAAACACGCGACCGGAAGTGAAATTTATAAAAAATCTCTTGACTTATCTCTAGACATTTGCATTATCTAAAACATACATAAAATAATTTCAGGTACTTTATTGATAAGCAATATTTATGGGAAGTTAGATATCAAAATAACGTAGATTATCTCCTAAACCGGAATTTTTTTTTGTTTCCGGTGGAATCTAACATATTTCAAAACAGCGAAAGAGATGTAATATTGTGATGCAAGTTTTAATTTAAAAAAGAAAAGTTTAAATTTTTGATTTCTTTGATCACTTCCTGTGACAAGCGGGAGTGGCGACTGACGCGTTGAACCCAAATGGTTTTGCCTACTCCTCAACGTCAATTACTCATACAAGTTTTGGTGTTTTAATCTTTTCCCTGTTTTTGAGATCTCTCTCAGACAACTTCTCATTTTGAGGACAGAAAAACACGCGACCGGAAGTGAATTTTTGAAAGATATTTAAGGATACTCTATACATTTGCACTCTGAATAACATATTTAAAATTCATTTCAAATACTTTATCTACAAAATATATTAATAGGAAAGAAAAATACTAAAATTATGTTGTTTTTCTCTTATTACCGGAAGTTGAAGTTTTTGTTTCCGGTGTGACCAACATCTTTCGAATCTGCGAAAAAGATGCAATAAAGTGATGCAATTTTTAATTAAAAAAAGAAAAGTTGAAATGTTCGATTTCTTTGATGACTTCCTGTGACGACCGGAAGTGACGGCTGACGCTCTGAACCCAAATGATTTCGCCTACATTTTAAGGTCTGTTGCTCATATAACTTTGATGTCTTAATCTCTTACTGTTTCCAAGATCTTGATCA